ATATTTAAAGCAAAAGTACTCCTTTTATTACTTGGTTTAAAAGACTGTATACAATGCTTTCCTAATTGACAACTCTCATACTCCAAAGTAGATAACTGAACAGACTCAAACAACTTTGGGAAAAGACATTTCAAAGAACTAAAAGAAAGATGTCCCAAACGATTGTGCCAAAGCATAATCTAGTTCACCGACTCTGACCCACTACTACTGCTGTTGCTAACATGATGGCCCTGATGTCTCGGAATCTCTTGCAGAAGGTAGACTTCATTCACCTCACGACCATTCCCAATCATCTTCTTTGACTCCAGATCCTGCAAAACACAATTACTAGGAAGAAAGGTCACGGAACAATTCAATTTTTTTGCTAAAGAACTAACAGATAGTAGGTTGGTATGAAGTCTAGGGACATGTAAAACAGAAAACTGAGTATATCATTGGTCACTCTAACTGTCCCCTTCCCAGCAATGGGAATATGTGAACCATCTGCTGTAGAGACTCTATCTCTACCAAAGCACAATTGATAGGAACTAAAAAGGGTAGGGACATTAGTCATTTGCTCAGATGCTCCTGAGTCTATAATCCAAGGAGGTCCCTGCTTACCTGAAGTGGATGCAAGATTTGCAGTTGCATATGAACTACCTGTATGTGCAAAGGAAATGGTGTAGTTGGCTCATGCATTCTGTTATCCATCTGAAAGGCTAGAGCTAGGTGAACCTTTCTTACTCATAATCTGTCCAAACCTCTCCAATTMTGTTCTCACTGCTGCTACTGCAATAGATTCCCAATCAGTTTGGGAAAGAGGGGCCAAAGAGTCTCTTGTAGTGGCTACATTTGCATTTCCCTTCTTCTTTCTTATCTGGGTAGGCATAATATTTGGATGAAGCTTCCAACAAGTGTCCCTGGTATGCTTAGGCTTCTTGCAATAATCACACACCAAGTCCTTATTTTCCCTTCTAGTCTCACTACTCCCCCTGTCTCCATTCGGCTTAGGTTTTGTTGTACCAACCATAGCCGACTGGTCAATCCCAAGCTGTCTCAGCATTACATTCCTTC